TGGGGCCCACGTTGCACCTGCTGGCTCCCCCCCGTGTTTCTGCTGGCCTTTGTACTCACTGTCCCAGCAGCACGGGCTACAGCCACCTCCCCCCGTGTTTCTGCGGCCTTCAGCGTGTCCCCAGCCGCCCTGGTCCAGCATCTCCCCTAGCTCCCCCTGCACACAAAGCAGCTCCATTCTCATTCCTCTCCTAAAGAATCACAAGGGACCTCACCCTCCGGACTTGACATAACACTTAGGTGTCATGGGATAATGAGCAAGGTCACTTCTCAGTGCTTGCCCATCATTTGAAAACCGTCTGGAGTGGCTGGAGCCGCTGCTGAATGTAACCTGCAGGCTAGGAGAGCTTCCGGGAGGGGCTTCCCAGCACCTCGCAGGACCCGATGGGCTGTGTCCTCATTCACTTCCCCATTCAGAGAGACAGCACGTGGTGTGCAAATGACAACCACTCCCCAGGAAACTCCAGCTGGTCCAGCGCTCTGCCCTCCCTAGCCAGACATCCAGTACCCTGGAGGGAGTCAGAAAGCTGTGGCCTAGACCATTTCCAAGTCCATGTTCCTGGGCCCCCAGCAGTCTGGCCAGTGGCTGTCCTTTGGCTTAGAGACTGTCCAGGTCTTCCTTTCCTGACTCCTGGAGTTATGGGAGGCCCCTCTGCTGAAGCTGGGAACCTATCCCCAGGGGGTCTTGCTCCCTGGGAGAGCTCAGGTGTCAAGCAAAAAGACCGAAGACTTCCCTGCTAAGCTTGACTTGGCAATCAACGGATACCTGCTTCAGTGGACACCTGTTGGCCTCCACAGCTTTTTGACCATGAGATCCTCTTAATGCAATGCGTGCATCTCTCAAAGCAGCCATCCCTGTGTTGTTTGGGTAAAGAGACCTGTTCCTTCTGTGCTTCCCATGCTCCCTGGGAAGGTGAACACAGACACGGTGAGCCCAGGCCAGCGGAGCTGTCTGCAGAATCTTTGGAGAAATGATGTTGCTGAAAAGTACCCAGAACTTTCCATAGGACTGGAGATTGCCAGGGGAGGAAGCAGAAGGGGTTGGTGGCTAATGAGACTAGCATAGGGACTGCTGCTCTAAGCTCGCAGATCCTGGCGGCGACACATGGTCAGCACAGGCCTCCAAGCTTCCCTTCTCCGTTTCAAGATGACGGCAAGAGGAACAGTCTAGCGGCCAGACTGTCAGGAAGCCAGTACAGCTGCCACTCTGGTGGGAAGTGTGGCAGGCACTGCCTTCTGGGCCCGACAGGACCATTTCCTGCCACCCCCTCAGTCCACCCAGCAGGCCCCAGGACACTGCATCACCCCCACGTACACATGCTCCCCTGTCCTTGCTTTCCCCTTGGGTTGGGTCCAGAGGAGCCCCAGCCAGCTGCTGGAGGATGGGGGATCACACGGGGGGAGAAGTTCCTATTCTGACTCGTCCCTAGGAGAGGTGAGGTGGGGAGTCCCCAGAAAACCCCAGTTCTTACCAGGTGGTCCTGTCTGGGCTCTCGTCCCTGTCTGTTGTCTGGTCTTATTGTGATAACGAATGCTCCCCACCCTGCCCGCTACACTCTCTAAACTCAGCAGGTTCATGCGCCATCAGCTTCCTGCCCAACTGCTGCCCGTCTTGTCATGGGCAGACACTGTTCAATCCTGGGAGCCCCCACCCTGTGGAGATGTGCTGGGGAAGCCCCCTGCTTCCCTCTACTGCACCCTCTCTTGATGCTTCCCTGCCTCCCCCGTCCCCGGCTCACACCAGGTCCTCCCTGTCTGTCTCTCCTGCCAGCCCAGGGTGACCATCGTCACCTCAGTGCAACACATCCATGGACCTGCAATCCGATGTGCCCCTCCAGTGGCAGGCCCTGCAGCAGGATCCAGGAGCAGACCTGGCTCCTGACAGTGGGACACACAGCAGGCAGGACCCCACAACCCCCATTGGCCCACACGCTATCCACCAAGAAGCCCTCCTCCCAGCTGCTAGCTTTGACTTGGCGAGGTCTGTCTGACCTCACCTTTGTGGTGGTGCCCCTGCCCCAATGGGGTGCCCTTTCTGGGCCCAGCTGAGGAAGGTTGCCCTGCCCAGCTATCTAGACCCACTCCCCATTCCACTCTGGTCTGGGCCAGCTCAGCCGCCTGCATAATCCCTGCATTGGTCCTGTGGGCCTTCCTCTTCCTGTTCTAGAATGTTCTTTAAATATCACTGGTTCTGCCAGGAATCCCTCACCTGGGCCTCACTGGGCCCAGGCTCACTGTTCTCTGTGAGTCTGTGAGCAGCGTCCTGCCCACCTTGGCCTGCAGGGCAGGTGGCCCCTTCAAGTGGGAGCGGCTGTAGATCTGCTTCCTACAGAAGGGCGCAGTGGTCTCCCTGGGGCTTTTGCTCCAGCTTAGTTGGCTTCCTGCTGCTGGAACTGAGTGTCATAAAGGGCCTGGAGACTGGGGAGTCTTGGCACAGCACTCCCTGCCTGGTGGGACCGTGGTGCTGCATCTTCTCATGGGAGACAGAGCGAGTCTCCCAAGGGATGGCGTCCAGATCCTCTAACTAGGACGGGTGGTGTTTGCAGCACGAGAATTCCAGGGGGCACTCTCAAACCATTGTGCTCCTGCTGGGTGTCAGTGGCCGTTGTTGGCTGGCCCACCCATCCCTCAAAACAGACGGCTGTACTGCCTTTGGTGCGAGCCCAGCCTGCTCCCCACTGGCTCCTTGGCCTGTAAGTGGTCAGTCCACATGCAAGCCATGTCCTGGTGTCTGGGTCATCAGCTGGCTTCCCAGGTCTCCTTGTCAGTGACCTTTCCCTGCCTTGCTTCGCACACAGCTTATTCCCTCAAGCCTCAAACACTTGTTTCCACACGTTTTACATCTCTGAAATTGATCACGCCTACAGCCAGTGCTGGCACAGGGTATGCCTCAGCTTTGTAGTGGTGCCAGAGACAACACGTGACTCAACATCAGTGAGCCTTAATGGCCCAGAGCTCACCTGCTCTTTTCCATCCACGCTCCCCACGCACCCTCAGCTCCCCTTCCACTCTCTTGGGTGCTTTGACATCTCTTCCCATGCCTCCGAAGACCTGTCTGCCATCAGCTGAGTTCTTGGACAGGCGACAACCGTGCTGCTCTAACTGAATCCAGGGCCCAGACTATTATTTCTGTTAAGTTGCTGCCTTTGGGCTTTAGACCTGCCCGAGTCACTTTGTAGAAGGTCCTGCTGGGGCGGCACCTGCTGCTGCTGCTCAGAGGTTTCTGGTTTAGCAGGAGGCTTGGTGAAAACAAGGGAATTTTCAAAGAATAAACAAGCCCTTTTGTAAAACCATCTATAACTGTACTCAGTAGCTTAAGCCGTGGAATGCACATCTGCGCACACACACGCACACACACACGCATCTTGCACAGGTTCAGACACAGGTACAGAGCAAAGTAGACATAAAACACATGGAGAGCAGACATGAGAGAGGGTGAGAGAGCAGGCCTGGATAACAGGTGGATGGTCGAGGTGTGTCTGCACTGCTAAAGTCCTCGCCACAGCTGGAGTTGACCTTCCACAATGGGGAGGGCTCGTGGCAGGTGTGAGGAGCGCCCAGGCCAGTCTCTCATGTCTAATTATGTCCCACTTGCCTATAACCCCAAAGATGCTCGGGCCAGGACATAGCTGCAGCCTCCTCAGTCAACCTCACTTGCAGGTGCCCGCGTCAACATCCTGCCTGCTCATGTTCCTGAGGAGGACCTCCCAGTCCACACCGTCCGGCTGTTAACCTCGTTCCCTGCAAGCACTGGGTCCTACTCCCTGCAGCAAACATACAGCTGGCAGCTCCCCAGGAAGCAGCTGGGCCCCTGACCCCCAGCTCCTCAGCTGGATATGGAAATCATGGACAGGATTATGTAGTAGTGACAATGATGGAGGGGCAACTCGTGGGCACTGAGGGGGCATAGCCAGATGCTGAATGGGGACCCTGATCTCTGGCACCATCCGACCACCCCAACTGCCAGAGGGACATCCCCCGTGAGAGGGAGTGGGGCCTCTGTGAGAGCTGGCCCTTGGTAGGAGCAGTGCTGGCCTCTAGCCAGCCAGAGGGCCTAGGGGCCTGGGCTCAGCGTTGTTGTTTGTTTGTTTGTTTGTTTTTGAAAGGCAGATTTAGAGAGAGAAGAAGAGACAGAGAGAAAGATCTTCTGTTCATTCGTTCACTACCCAAGTGGCTGCAATGGCCAGAGCTGAGTTGATCTGAAGCCAGGAGCCAGGAGCCTCTTCCAGGTCTCCCACGTGGGTGCAGGGTCCCAAGGCCTTGGGCTGTCCTCGACTGCTTTCCCAGGCCACAGGCAGGGAGCTGGATGGGAAGTAGAGAGCTGGGCTGTGAACCAGCACCCACATGGGATCTCGGAGAATGTAAGGCAAGGATTCAGCCACCAGGCTATGGCTCCAGGCCCTGGGCTCAGGGTTTTTGAATAGCCCCCGACCTACGCACCTCCATCCCTCTTCTCTGTCATCCTCAACCGAGATTCGCACAGGCAGATGTCTGGCTAGATCATTTCCTGAGCTTCAATAAAATAGAATGACAACAAAGAAAAAAAATCAAAATAAAGGCAAAGCAACTGCCAAAATAGAGGGTTTCTTTTTTTCTTGTGTTTAAAAATACATGATCTTTGTGGAGAGAGAGAAAAACAAAAATAACTTCCCCCTCATCCAACACAGAAGAAAACAAGTTCTGGTTTCTTGTTTTTCCAAAATCAATACAGATTTCTGACTTTGCAAGCATGAAAATGCACTATGACCAAATACTTGAAAAATAATTTGGGTTTAAAAAGAACTGGAAGAAAAAAGTTTTCAAGTGATTGTGTGTGTGCCCTTTGCAGCTTGGCCCCTGGGAGCTGCTGGCTACAGGATGTGAGGGCGTGGGTGGCAGTGCCTGGGGCCTTCTGTGGGTCACGGTCCCTCCCTCAGCCTCGGGGGGGCTCTGCGGCAGGTGGCCTCCGTGGTGGGGGACGTCTGGTGACAGTGCTTTCCTATTTGGGGTTTCCGTCCCCAGGCATCCGAAGGCGTCCCCATGAGGTTCTTCACCAAGCTGGACCAGCTCATCGAGTTCTACAAGAAGGAAAACATGGGGCTGGTGACGCACCTGCAGTACCCTGTGCCCCTGGAGGAGGAAGATGCAGGGGACGAGCCCGAGGAGGACACGGGTAGGACAAGGAGGGGAAAGGGGTGGCTTTTGGTATCCCTCCACCTCCTCTGCTCCAAGTCCCACAAGTGCTTGTAGATGGGTGGGGGTGGGTCTCTCCTCCCAGGGAGAGTGCACAGTGGGGATGTTTAAGGACACGCAGGGACTACAGGCTCTGGGCTCAGCATACTGAAAAGCTGTGTGACCCCAGGCAAGTTACTAAGCTTCTCTGAAACGCAGTGAGAATATTAACCACCTCTCCGGATGTCTGAAGGTCAGATGAGCCAGTGACTGGTGTGGGTGTGTCCTTGGCTGATGTAGCTGCCGGAAGGTGCCTTGTCGTGCATGGGCCACTGTGCCAAGTAGAAGGACGAGTAGGGCTCTGCTTTCTATTATGGTTCACACCCTGGGGAGTGGGGAAGGCTCTCAAGTTATGTGGGGCTGGGAGTGGCCAGCCGAGAGCACTCCTGGGAAGGGGCTTGCTTCCTCAAAGAAAACCGCAGTGCCTGTGCAGCCCCTCAGCTGGTCAGGTCTGCTTCCTAACTCAGCCTCTGGGGACCAGTGGGTTCTGCAGGTTCCCGTTCTCCCACTTCCAGAGGGGACACATGACCAGAGCCCCAGAGGTGTGAGGTCCCTGGCCTGGAGTCCCTCCTCCCTTGGACCCTGACATGCTGGGCACCCACTGAATCTTGCGGGCTGGCTCTTGGGCCACTGCCTCCCCACATCCTCCCGCCCACCCAGATACCCCCTTTGTATGGGTGGTCTCCACTGGAGAGGATGGTGGTCCCACGGAGGGCAGGAGGGGCCTGCTCTGAAGGGATACCCTACCCTGCCCCATCATCCTCAGGAGTCACACTGTAGCAGCGCACCTTGCTCCATGGGGGAAGGTCCCACCGCCACTCCCCATCATGCCTTGTGCAGTCACGTGACTGCTAGCTTCACTTCCCCAAACACAACCACCCTGTTTTCAGCTTGAACCAGAGCAGTTTGGCACGCTTACACCAGGGCTGTCCAGTGCAGCTCAGTTCTTCCCAAGGTGCTGCCAACTCTGGTGGCTCTAACCTGCGGACACTGGGTTCCGAACCCAGGTCCGAGGAGGAAGCAAATGTCAGTGCTGTAAAGAGGAAGTCCCAGTAGCCACCCAGGGAGGGGAGAGGCTTGCTTCAGGAAATCCTGGTCCTCCCGGGAGCTGAATGACCATTCCGCCCTTTAGGGTAAGAGAGGAAGAAGGGACAGAGGGTAGGGTTGGGCTGCGAGGTGAAGGAGCAGGTGGCCGGGCCTGCCTCCTGCCTGCTGGGCTGGCCCTCAGGGCCCCACTGTTGGTCCTGGGTCTGTGCCCGGGCCTATTAGCCTACGGGCCTACCTGAGCCTGTGGCCTGGTCAGCAGCTCTCCAGAACCACCCAGCCCCCGAGCCGAGCAGGACATCAGACCCTGGCAGGTGTTTGCTGAGCCACACCATGGAACAGGAGCCACGTTAAGCCAGTGAAGACAGGAACAAAAGGGACACAGGTGGAGACCCGGAACATGGTCCACAGGACAGCGTGGAGCGTGGAGGGCAGAGACCCGTGCCCCCAAAGCTTCATGGCTATCCTGTCCTCTCTCCGGCAGAAGGCATCACGTCCCCACCTGAGCTGCCTCCCAGAAACATCCTGTCCTATGAGACGAAGGAGTTTCCTGCGTCGCTGGAGAGTGCCCGAGCCCCTGAAGTCAACCGGCCCAGCCCCTCGGAGACACTGCTGCAGCGGCTGCAGACCGTGGACACCAGCGGGTGAGTGCCCCCCGGGCGGGTCCCTGAGGAGGTCAGTCGGTGCCCCAACCCTCAGCCAGCACGTGCACCTTCAGCCCTGATTCCCCTAGCCAGCCCCGTGCTCCTCTGCATCCGCCTCGTACTAGCAAGACTGTTTTTGTTTTTTCTTGGCCAAGATATGGTTTTTGTGTCCTTGACCTGTTCAGTTTTTTAAACCAAGATCTTTATGTTTGTCTCGGTAACTTGTTTTCCTAAATATTTATTTACTTATCTGAAAGGCAGAGTTGCAGTAGGGGTGGGGGAGGGAGGAGAGAGATTTTCCATCCTCCAGTTCACTTCCCAAATGACCACGGCAGCTGAGACTGGGTCATGCAAAAGCCAAGTGCGAGTGCCTGGAGCTCCATGCAGGCCCCGTGCGTGCTGGGGCCCAAGCACGTAGGCCATCCTCGGCTGCTTTCCCATGAACGTTGGCAGGAAGTTGGAGCAGAAGTGGGTCACCTGGAACTCAAACTTGCACCCATATGGGATGCTAGTGCTATAAGCAGAGGTGCTATGAGCTTTGTCTATTGCGCCACAACACTAATCCTTCTTACTCTCCGGTCCCTTTGTCTATTGCCAGTGTTACAGTCATTCATTTTCCAGCTTTCTGCTTGCTTTCTGAGCACAGGGATGTTGCTACGTTTGTTCATTCCAAACCCTTGTGTAAGAGTCCCAGTCAGCTGCCTTGTTAATGCAGTCACCGTTCCCCGATGGTGGGCATCGCCTGGGCACACACGAGGGCCGGTACCTCCCACTGGGAGGCTGCACCTGCTCCTGGCTCACAGGTGCAGGCCATGAGTATTAGAACGGTCAGCCCAGGGACCCAGGAAGGACTGCCCTTACCCCTTGCCTCCCTGTCTGGTCCCCAGGGATGATGGGGAAGCCAGGGGTCAGTGGTGACACTGGTGAAAGTGCTCTGCTAAGGTCTGGCCTCCCTGGACTGCAAGGACCGGGACAATACCTGTGGGTAGCAGCCTGAGGGCCAGGTGTGCCCGGGGTTGGACGCACACAGCTACAGTTCTCTTGGACATTCCTGATCCCAGCTGCTGACTTAAGAGCTCCCAGACATGAAGTCATGGGTCACCTCAGGGTCCTGTGTGGAGCTCTCAGAGCCACCTGCAAGAGGAGCACCTGGGAGTGATGGAGTACCCCGGGCTCCCCATCCTGGGTTCCCTGGGTGAGCTGCTTGGGGGCAGGAAAGCTGCAGGAGATGGGTCCCCTCCACCATGCTGGTTGGGCTTTCCACGGAGAAGTTAACCTGGTAACTATAGACAGAGGTCAGATGGGGAGTGAGTCGCAGCCTCAAGTTTACTGTTGAAGAGCAGAGTGCAGCAGCCAGAGCTGGAGGTGCAGGCCTGGCATTGCCTCTGGCCCTACCACCTTCTCCCCTCCTGCTACACTCCCCAGGCGCACCCCACAGAAGGCTTGGAGCCCATGGCACAGCTCCAGTGCAGTCCACAGGCGCCTGTGCATTCTCGGTGGGGTTTGCACTCGGCTCCTTCGCCTCTGGTACCTAGACTACTAGGAGCTCCCTGCGGGTTGTGGGCCTCACCCAGGAGCCACTGTCCGCTCTCCACTCGTGTCTGTTACACAGCCCTCCCCTGCTCTGGGCCCCCATGGAGCTGGCTACTGTCCCCCAAGAAGGGTCAAGCATTATTACTGGGTGTGGCCAGGACCATGGGGGCAGCCAGCTTGATGCCCCCTCTTTACAGTGAAAAGCCTGGAGTGCAATTGTTGTAGTGTGTCCACAGTTGATGGGGGTTCCCCAGTGTGGTCTCATATGAGCTCCTCTGGCTCCTGTGGTGAGCCTGGCCCGCCTGTGGCTGAGTGATGCCACATTGTACTCTCAGGGGCTGCAGCTAGCCCAAGTGGAAGCCGCCAGGGCTTCTCTGCAAGCAAAAGTAATAGCTTTCGTTGCTTATTGAATCATGCTGAAAAAATCTGTGTGGCCTCTTTTTGCATTGTTGATTTGAGGATGGAAAGGGGAATTGGGAAGTTTTTCTTCATGCAGGCTGTTAACAACCTGGAGCTTCTGTTTCCTCATTTATAAAACAGGATTAATAGTAACAGCAGCAACATCTGCCTCATGTAGATTAAAGAATAAAAAAAGCATCAAGTATTTAGCATGGGGTCTGGCATACTATGTACGCTCAGTGATATTTTCCATGATTGTAGGAACAAAAATTTGGAGGTTACCCAGAAAAAAAAAAAAGGGTGCTGGAGATAGAATAAAGAGGACTGACCAGATTTCCAGGGGACAGCCCCGGGGGATCCAACTGCACTTTGCGCCCACCTCTGCACTGAGGCCACTGTGCAGGCAGAATAGATCCTGCCTTCCGGTCCCATGCACTTTGTAAAGGCCAGGGCCTGGACGGGTTCAGTGGCTTGCACTGTGCTCCTGGGATCCTAGGCTGTGCATTTGGAGTCGGCATGGGGGCCAAGACATTGGCCATCTCTACTGAGCTCACCCTACAACTCTCAGTTCCTGTCCATGTGACCAGGAGGACAGAGGGACGGTTCCACTCTACAGCTCTCAGGCTTGTTTCAGAGCCCTCACCCAACAGGCCCTCCCCAGGAGTCTGCAAAGGTGCTGGTCTGCTCCCGAGGCACCGGTTTTCTCCAGACCCCCTGGTCCTGCCCTCTGCCCCTACAGTAAGACTAACAGCACCCATGTGCTGGAGTCTTGGAGAATCAGGACCTGGTGGTAGTTGCTGTTCCCCTGGGCGCTTGTGGCTGAGGGCAGCTGGCTGACCTTTTCCCTCTTGCTTTCCAGACTCCCAGAAGAGCATCTCAAAGCCATTCAGGATTATCTGAGCACTCAGCTCCTGCTGGACTTGGAATTTGTGAAGACAGGCTCCGGGAGCCTTCCACATCTAAAAAAACTGACCACACTGCTGTGCAAGGAGCTGTATAGGTGAGAGTGCAGCCACGCCCGGAGTGGGGGTACACGGGTGGGGCTGGCCCCAGGGCTGGAGCAGGCACCCGCTCATTAGGGCGACCCTGAGTTCCGCTGGCCGCTCCAAGGCTGCCACTGCGCTCACGGTAATTGAGCAAGGGGCAGAGTCTGCAAGGCTTTGTGGTTGTCTGCAGGTTTTGCTTTCTTAGGATTTGAAGAGAGAGAGAGAGAGAGAGAGAGAGTGTGTGTGCGTGTGCGTGTGTGTGTTCTCAGCTAAAGGTAACTGGTGGCTCCTGGTGTTTTCTGCTTTGCTCAGGATCCAGGTCTTACACCATGGCTGCCACACATCCTTCTTACTGTGGCTAACACATTTAACAAGTGCAGAAGGGCACCGAGGGGAAATAAACCCAAGCCAGGTTAGCTTCCTGAAATTGCCGATAGTGGTGCTTGTATTAAGGAGAGCAAATTAACTAATATCTTGATATTTTTCCAATTTTGAATTTGTTGAACAAGGTATTTGGTAGAAATTCTAATCTTCTTCAGATTCTCTTGATTTTATATTTCTTTCTTATTTTTACAGTGTTAGAGTTACAGAGAGACGGGAAAACAGAGAAAGAGAGAGAGGAGGAGAGATCTTTCATTTGCTGTCTCAATCCTAGTGGCTGCAATGGCCATACTTGGGCCCATCCAAAGATGGGAACCAGGAGCTTCTTCTGAGTCTCCCATATAGGATATAGGGTCCCAAGGACTTGAGTTGTCCTCTGCTGCTTTCCCAGGCCATTAAGAGGGAGTTAGATTGGTAGTAGAGCAGCCGGGACTTGAACTGCCATTCATATGGGGTGCCAGCACTGCGGGTGGAGGATTAGTCTGATATACCTGGACCCAGATTTTATGTTTTTAATCTGATTAAAATTAAAATATTTTCAAATTTAATTACCTTCTTTGAGAGAGAATGCTCCCCAGGCTAAAACAGCGAGCTAGGAATCCCAAGGCAGGCCTCCTGCATGGAACGGATGGCAGGGACCGAGCACTTGAGTCGTCAGTGCCACCTCCCATGGTCTGCGTTGGCTGGGAGCGGGACTGGGGCTGGAGTCAGCAATACCAGTCACGCCCTGCCATGTGGCAGGTGGGCCGAACAACCGCCGCTCAGACATGATTACCTTCTGGTAAGACTTGGATGGCATTCTTGGCTTCTGGCTTGTGCCTAGTGCCATTGTGGGCACCAGGAGGGACGAACCAGCAGAGGAAGCGCTGTCTGTCTCTGGTGAAAGTAACGCCGATAGACCATCCAGGGACTGGCAGAGAAGAGTTCATGTGCTGGAAGCTTGCACAGGAGTGTGCAGCACCAAGCACTTGGAAGGCGCGCCAAGGAATCCACACAAACACAGCCCGCCCCATCACCACTGAGAGGCAGCATTGTGGCTGGGGCCAATAGACTGGCATAGCTGCTTAAGCTGCATGCAATGCCAGTATCTCTCCTGGACACTAGATTGAGCCCTGGCTGGTCCACTTCCAACCCAGCTCCCTGCTAATGTGCCTGGGAAAGCAGCAGAGGCTGGCCCAAGCGCTTCGTCCCCTGCACCTGTGGGGGACCTGGATGGAGGTCCTGGCTCCTGGCTTCATCCTGGCTCAGTCCTAGCTGTTGCTGCCCTTTGGGGAGCGAACGAGTAGATGGATGATCTCTTTTCTGTCACTTCGTATCTCTCTACAACTCTGCCTTTTTTTCCCCCAAAGACTTATTTATTTTTATCGGAAAGGCAGATATACAGAGAAGAGGAGAGACAGAAGGGAAGATCTTCCATTGTTGTTTCACTCCGCAAGTGGCTACAACAGCCGGAGCTGTGTTGATCTGAAGTCAGAAGCTAGGAGCCTCTTCCGGTCTCCCATGTGGGTGCAGGGTCCCAAGGCTTTGGGCTATCCTCGACTGCTTTCCCAGGCCACAGCAGGGAGCTGGATGGGAAGCAGGGCCACCAGGATTAGAACTGGCACCCATATGGGATCCTGGCGTGTGCAAAGCAAGGACCCTAGCTGCTAGGCTACTATGCTGGGCCCTGCAACGCTGCCTTTTAAATAAATAAATGAATTCTTAAAACAAACAAACAAACAAACAAAAAAAACAGCCAGCATTTCATATGGACAAGCCTTCCTCAGCCTGTGCTATTTTGTGCTTTATTATGCATACAGCAGCTTCAAGATTCTCTTGTCAATCAATCTTAGCTTAGTTAAGATGCAGGAAGAACAAACTAAAAAATCTTCCCTCTCCAGTTATCAAATTCAACTTCCTGCTTAAAGGCCCTGCAAAGCGCAATGCGTACATTTGGTATTTGAGCAAACATTGTCTCCCACAGGCAGCCTTCATCAGGTTGCCCAGTTCAGCCTCATTCTTCCAAGTGCCCCTCAGTCCTTGTGGGCCCAGAACCCTCCTGCTGGCCCATTTCCACGTTGGAGTTTTGCTCCGTGGATGCTGTTAGCACAAATCACCAGGAGAAACCCAAGCCAGGCACAAAGCACTGCCTCATGATGGCCGATGTAGCAACTTTCATTTCTGCTTCCACGGGGAACCTGCTCCTCGCTGCCTCCTTGTCAAGGTGGAAATGCATTTCCAAACTCTGCTGAGTGTCCCCAGACTTGCTGCTCAGACACTTCCGCCCGCTGGCAGAGTTTCCCCACACTGCACCATCTCTCAGGCTTGCCCGGGTTCCAGACCATCCCATCGCCACAAGGGCAGCAGCTTCCCTGCTCGCCTATTTGGCACCTCTGCTGGTGGGACCAGCTTCTCTCAGCTCTGGCTGGCCAAACAGCCACCGCAGGTTAGGCTTGGGGCCACTGCAGGGTCCTCAATTCCTCCTGGATGCCTGCTTGCATCTTCATGGGGAGCATGGTCGCCATGCTTGGAGTCTTGGTTGGCCAAGGCTGGGATTCTAGAAACCCTTAAATAGGAACAGAATATTTTCTATCCAGCACCCTCCCCTCTACTCCTGCGGGTGCTGTTCCACCAAGCTTGACAGGGTCAAGGGGATCTCAGGCAGGACACCTGGGAGACACGAGGGCAGACTATAGCAGGTAGCCAGTGGAGCAAGGGCTTGGGTCCATTTGGTTTCTCACTGAGTCTGGGGGTTTTGACGCAGGACAGCTCAATAGATTAAGCGATCCAACAGCTTGGGACCTGTGGGTGCTGAGAATTGGGGTGACTAGAGACACGTGGAAACAGCCAAGCTGTCATCCATCCTTGCTGCCTGGTTGGAAGTGGACTAGAGAGCGTGGCCTCCGGGTCCTCAGATGATGCCAGTTACTGAGATGGGGACTGTGGAGGAAGACGGATGCTCGGAGCGGGCTCCAGAGCCCTGAGTCTCTAGCCACAGAGTTCAGATAAGAAATTATGGCCAAGGGAACCCTTGAGACCTGGTGTGTTAGGGAATTGTTAGTAATGGGCAGCACCTAAAGCTGGGGTTAGGGTAAGATCCCTACAGGCAAAGAGGGCCAGGCCCAACTTGAGTGGGATGTATCGGGAGGTGCTGAGGATGGCCCCAGGTCTCCAGACCCAGAGCAGGAAGTAAGGAATGAGGGAAGTGCCGGGGTCTCCTTTGCACAAAGGTGGCAAGGACATGGGTGCATGTGGCTGAAGTCAGGACTGAGCACATGTGGGTGTAGGGTCAACTTGTGGCTGCCAGTTTGCTGGAGTCAGGCAAGAATGTGCCCAAACAGCGAGGCAAAGAACAAGGTCACCTGGAAGCTTCTTTGGTGACCCCCACTGATGGACAAGGGCAGAGGTGCTGGTGGAATTCAAAAATAAAAATATGAGAGAAGGAGGGAGGGAAGGAAGAAAGGAAAGAAAAGAGAGAGAAGGAAGGAAAGAGAGGTGAGGAGCAGGGGATGGAAGGAGATGCCTTCCCATCATCATAACCTTTTCCTTGGGAGTCACAACAGAAAAACCAATCAAATTGGAAAGTCATATCACAAGCCAGGATAGAGTTGAGGAAGAATGTATAAAAAACATGGCAGAACTAAGCAAGCCCACTTAAAGTGTGATAGACTGGTAGTCTTTCAGAGGCATCCGCCCAGCGCCTATACCATCAGTTCGGACGCTCGTGTCCCACACCCTGGGTCAACACCTGCCCCTGGCTCTGGCATTCTGCTGACAGGAACGAAGGGCCGCTCTGGTCATGAGGTTCCTCCCACGTGCAAGGGAAAAGTTGCCCAAGAGAACTCTGGGAAAAGGGCAGGTTGTGTGAGATTGAATAACAGTATGGATAAAAGTGAATCACCTACTGAAAGCCACACACATGAAAAAAAAAATGTTAAAACTGCATAACAAAAAATTCTACCTAAGGAATAAAACATACATAGCAACAAATCCATCACTTGAAATGTATTCTTGAAAGTTAGAAAAAGACTTTAAATGAGCAAATAATTGCTCCCTAGTGAACACTGATGATAAATTTTTAACTGCAGCAAGCACAAACTTGCCAAGGAAATATGAAAAATAGGGTAATAAAAAATTGTAAGTTACTTTGTAATGAAATTCACCTTCCCCATGACAGTAATATAACAGGGGGGAAAAAGCCTCATTAAGATTAAATAAAAAAGCAAGAAGAAAGCAAGATAAAAATTCTCACAAAATTACCAACAGAAAGTTGGCAAAGCAGATAAACAGCTTATGCAAAGGAGAAATATAGTGGAGCTCAACAGTAGGAGAATGTTTCATGACACCCGAGATTAAAGAAATGCAAATTAGTTCTTAACATTGAAGTGTGATGCTGTGCCCATTAAAAAAAGAGAAAAAGCAAAAAAATAAAAAAAGGTCGCAGTGAGAATGAAGGTGAACTGCAAGTCCCAGCAGGTACAGCGGTGCCAGATGCTGGAGTTGGTGCACGCACTGACCCAGCGCCATCAGCTCTCATTACCCGATTCTGTCTTCAAAATTAGAGCCAGCAAAGCTGTTCACAGCAGCTTTTATTTACAACAGCCAAGATCTCAAAAGAACCCAAATATCCAGCAGTCGATGTGGGCACATTTGCCTGATAGAGGCTTTTGGAACCATTAGGATGTTAAACATGTAAAAACATGAACAGTTTTTGATGACATAATCTGTGAAGAACGGAAACTGAAAATTATCTGCCCATCACGCTTCAAGTAGTAAAACAAGATGAGAAGGGACTGAAAAACTTGATGAGGTCCTCAGACCGGAGTCACCAATGGATTTGCTCCTGAAGTCCCTGGGGCCTGCCCTCTGCTGCCCCGTGGAGATTTGCGTCACGGTCCACAGCCCCAGCTAAAAAGGAAGATGCAGACCAAACAGCTGGGGTCCAGACTGTTGGGTTTTCGACTGTGCGTGTTTGTGTGTGAGAGAGAGACAGATTCTTTGAGGGAATTTTTTTTCTTTTTATGAGAGAGATTCTTGCAAAAAGGAAGTTTGGGCACAGAGATGACTAAGTGACTTTAAAGTGTGTGTGTGATGCTGGATCCAAGTTTCTGCCGGCTACAATGTCTAGCATGCTTTTGCACAAACCCCGGGCAAGATCAGCTCTGCACAACCAGGGTGATGCAGGCCAGGAGGGTATGGGGTCAGGGTGGGTGGCCAGCGCTGCCAGTCCTTGGCCTTTGCCCGGACTTGTCCTGCTGGGAGGGAGGGATTTTCCAGAGCGGGTGTCACCCTGTCTACAGCCCAAACCCAGCAGCCTCCGAAGCCTCGTTCATCTGGGAGCCCACTAAAAAACTCCTGACCATCCCTTTGCTTCCCCCCAACCCTTAGTGAAGTCCTCCGGACCCTCCCGTCCCTGGAGTCTCTGCAAAGGCTTTTTGACCAGCAGCTCTCCCCTGGCCTCCGTCCACGACCTCAGGTAAGGACGTGGGGCGCGGGGCAGGGAGGAGAGACAGGGAAGCGGCTGAGAGTGTGGCACCTCACCCCCGGGTAGGCTGATTCCTCAAGTCCAAGATGATGGGACTCCTGCATGAGGCCTGCTATCTAGATGGAAAGACCAGAAAACGTGGGATCCCTGAACTCTTGATCCCAGTTCTTGCCCCAGAAAGAGCAGAGTGAAGTACTACCCCTACACCTAACTCCTCCCCTCCAACATGCACACACCTGCTCGTGGCTTGGCAACAGGCTAGGGCAAGTTGTGCATTCAGCAAAGGTCTGTGCAATTTAAAATTGCCATCAACAAAAATTAATTTTCAAAAAGGAAAAGCAATATCTTTAAATATTTGCAACAGATATTACGGACAGTGGGTCTAATATGATTTTTTAATGGCAGTAGTTATGTAAGAACAAGCCAGTTTTTCAAATGCTTTTTATAAGCAAGGGTATTCCCCAAGGAGGGACAGAGAGTGACCAAGATGCACTGGAGGTGTCTGAGCTGCTCTCCGCAGCATCCAGGGAATGACGATCCTGGCATAGGGAGCTCTGAGGGCTAGTTTGTGGAGTTCGGACTCTGCTGGGAAGTGGATGTCCCTCTTCACTGTTGCCAGTGGTAACAAAGTGTCCTATGAGGCAGCTGTCACCAGCCTATACCTGCACGATGGCACAGTGACAAAGGTCTTCCTTGTAACTGTGTCTTTAAACCCCAGTGCATTGCAGGCACACAGAGGTTGAGTGAGGGTGGAATTCATGGGTGAGGGTGGGCCTTCCACGTGACAGCTCAGGAGCATCCGAGCTCAGGGCATGGCCGTGCCTCCACACAGCTTCCTGCTGATGCTGACCCTGGGGGACAGCAGGTGGCGGCTCAGGCGGGTGGGTCCCTGCCACCCACTCAGAGACCCTGGATTCAGTTCTTGGCTCCTGAGTGTGGCCTGGTCCAGCGCTGTTGCAGACATGTGGGGAGTGAATCAGATCTGTCTCTCCACATTTCAAATAAATAAAATGTACCAACAAATAAAATAAGGGACAGAATTTGATTCTAAGGTGTAGATGCCTCTGTGAAACGCTCTCCCATGTGTACAAAAAGCAAATGACAAAACTGAATCAGCAGTGCTGGAAACCAGACCAGAGGAGCGAAGCAATCTGGGTTCTGTGGGGAGAGGCTGGGCCGGAACGCTGAGCCTGCCCGCACTGGCTGAGTTTAGCTGCCCTAGATTGAGTCTCTTGCATCAACTGGCAGATGGGCAGGACGACAGGTAGGTCAGGCCTGTGCATGGCAGCCTCACAAAATACAGACCAGATCGCGGGTGTTGCTACGTCATCCTGAGCATCCCGGAGGAACAAGGCCTGGGGGATTTGCAAGGAGGGTCTGGGCAGCCGCACAAGCAAAGGGAAGGTGCAGGAGGGAATGCAAGGTGGACAATGGCCATCTGCTTATGCACATCCAGTCTGTCAGACGGCAGGCCTGGCAAGGACAGACTGACAGCTCAGCCTGGCCACGTCCCCCGGGGCCACGGGTCAATTTGACCTTTCCTAGCCCCGTACAAGCCTGGTACAGAAGCCTTGGAGCAGGCTGCAGCCCATACCTGCTGCTTCTTTTACTAGTGTAGAGAGAGAGAGTTATTTTATAAAAGGACAGCATTCCCAAGCTATACCTGAGTTCCCAGTTCGTCTGAATAGCCATCTTGAAATATCCCCGAAAAGTCTGTTACAGGATGGCTGATTTTGGCTTCCCACAGGCCCTGCTTTGAAGCCATAATTTCAGAAAGTTCCACTTACTGAGGGAGACTTGGCAGCTATGGAGAGAGTTGGGTTTGAAGTGGAGGGATAAGAGACGGCGGAGCGGGAGGGGGCATCGATGGGCTTCTGAACACGGGCAGGCTTAAGTACATGATTCCAGAGGATGGCAGAGAGCTGCAAGTGAAACCCGGCAGACAGGTACTGGGGAAGCTCAGAGAATTTGGGGTCCAGTTCAGACTTCAAGTAAACTCTAACATTTCAAGAACAGCAGTTGGGGTCAGGGTCTAGTTGGTGCCATAGTTTTCTTCTGAAACACAAAGTTTTTTTTTTCCTCTGGTTATTGTCATTTCTACCCAAAATAATGATAGTGAGAGCATTTGCAAAGTAAGTTTTCATCTTACTGTACATGGCCTGACCAATGATGCAAGCTCAGAAGGAGTTGTGATGGAGTGTGCAGGCTTTTTAAAAATGGGCTTGGGGCCTGGCATGGCAGCCTAGTGGCTAAAGTCCTTGCCTTGCACACGCTGAGATCTGATATGGACGTTTATTCTAATCCCAGCAGCTTTGCTTCCCGTCCAGCTCTTTTTAAAATGAGTTTGATAAGGCCCAGTGTGATAGTGTAGCAGTTAAGATCCTTACCTTGAATGCGCCCAGGATCCCATATGGGCGCCAGTTCTAATCCCAGTGGCCCCACTTCCCATCCAGCTCCCTGCTTGTGGCCTGGGAAAGCAATCGAGGACAGCCCAAAGCTTTAGACCCAGAAGAGGCTCCTGGCTCCTGGCTTTGGATTGGCTCAGCTCTGGCCGTTGCAGCCACTTTGGGAGTGAACCATCAGATGGAAGATCTTCCTCTCTGTCTCTCCTCTCTGTATATCCACCTTTCCAATAAAAATAAATAAATCTTTAAAAAAAAATGGGTTTAATAGAGTCAGCGTTGTGGCACAGTACACAAAGCCTCTGCCTCCAATACCAACATCCCTGGCTGCTCTGATCCAGCTCCCTACCACTGCATCTTGGAAAGATGGCCTGAGGTACTTGGGCCCCTGCACCCCTGTGGGAAACCTAGATGAAGCTCCTGGCTTCTGGTTCCATCCAGCCTCGCTCAGACCAGGCCATTGTGGACATTTGGAGAGTGAACTGGCAGGTGGGAGATCTCTTTCTCTGTCTCCTTCTCTCTCCGTAACTCAACCTTTTAAATAAATAGAAAAATCTTTTAAAAATATATAAATTAAAAATAATGTGTGTATGGGGGAGCTTTGCCAGGATGGTGGAGACGCCTCAAGTTACTCCCGGAGTTACTTGCACATTCATGAAGATTCAGCAATAGAAAGACTCGTTCTTTAGTGCTGCCCTGCACTGGGCGCCAGCCTGATTGCTGACCCGTCCACCCGGCTGCCTGTCACTTACTCTTCCAGGTCTGGGAGCTCTCTGTTCCAGACATGGAGCCACTTGTCTCTGAAACACGGTCATAAACCAGCTCCCTTTCTTTCTGACTGTACCATTCTAGCACAGCTCAGGCAGCAAGGCTGAACAGTCTCCCTGCTGTGACAATAAACGAAAGTACACCTGCAGGTGACTCAGGACCTTCCACCAAGATCTCCAAAGATGGAGCAGACCCCCCAGGGCAGGAAAAAGGAGGAAAAGCTTAGCCACTCTCCATCCCCCATGGGGGCCAAATGCTTAGGCTCCCACTGCCTTCATCCGTGCCTTTGCATGCAGGCTTTATATGCCTTGTTCCCTCAAAAGACAGAAAAATCAAAATGAAGCAAACAGAAGGTGTTTATGGGAGGGAAAGGCCCACTAACAAGTGGACACCCGAGGGTCGAGGGCCCTGGTAAAGTCAACCAGACGATCCTGACGAAACCTTGCACCTTTTTCTCCCCTGCGTGAAAAGCATTTGCTAAGGAAGTGGAGCCTCAGTGGAGGAAGGAAGTTTGACTTGGGACACCAAAGGTCTCCTGTTGTGTGCGCGTGAGCTGGCCAAGGCAGCCGCTGAGGCCATGCCCTATGCTTCTTGTGCCTTTTTTAAAATTTACTCTTCCATGGGTCACAATAATGTGGTTGTTTGGGATGAGACTTCCCCCCAATTTTTAAAAAACTTCTTCTTAGAAACAATCTTTTTAAAATTTGTTTCTTACTTATTGCCATGAATATAGGAGTATAGATACTTTCTGTAAATTTTTCAAAATGTTTATTTGAAAGACAGAGAAACAAAGACAAACAGGTTTCCCTGACCTCTAGTTGACTTCCCAAATGCCTGTGACAGCTGGGGGTGGGCTGGGCTAAAGCCAGGAAAATAGAACTCAGTCCAGGTCTCCTGCTGGGCAGGCAGAGGCCTGGCTGCAGGAGCTGCCTCCCGCAGTGCACATTAGCTGGAAGCCAAGTCAGGAGCAGGGTAGGGACTTGAACCAGGCACTCCAGTATGGGCCGCAGATAGTCCAGGCAGCATCTGGATGGCTATGCCAAGTTTTTTCAGAGGTATAGTTCCTGTTACATAATGTTATATGATTATTAAATTTAGGTTCTAGGGAAAAAAATGCACATCCTTTCTCTTTTTTTAGAATTCATTTTATTTATTTGAAAGCTAGAATTACAGAGGCAGAAGAGAGGAGAGGAAGAGAGAAAGAAAGAGATTCAATCCACTGGTTCAAGTCACTTGTTTGTTTTAAAACATTTATTTTTATTTGAAAGGCAATCAGATTTTTGGAGCAAAGAAAAGACAGAGAGAAAGATATTCCATCCCCTTGTTCATTCCCCAAACAACCGCAGTGACCGGAGCTGAGCCAATCCGAAGCCAGGAGCTTCTTCCTGATCGCCAACGTGGGTGCAGGGTGCCAAGGCTTTGGGCCATCCTCTATTGTTTTCCCAGGCCACAAGCAGGGAGCTGGATGGGAAGTGGAACAGCCAAGACACAAACTGGTGCCCATATGGGATGCCAGTACTTGCAAGGTGAGGATTTAGACATTGAGCCATCATGCTGGGCCCTGGGGTTCACTTCTTAAAAGACTGCAATGGGCAGATTGGGCCACAAATGAATCCAGGAGCCAGGAGCTTCCAGGTCTCCCTGTGGATGCAGGGGCCCAATCACTTGAGCCGTCCTCTGCTGCTTTTCCAGGCATATTAGCAGAGAGCTGGATCAGAAGTGGAGTAGCCAGTAGTCAAACTATAGTTCATATGTGATGCCAGTGATGTAAACAGCAACTTAGCCCACTATACCACAGCCCTCTTCTTAAACATAGCCAAT